TTTGCTCGTATGTGGAGCATAAGGGCCTCTGTTTGAAGGTTTCTTGATCTATTTACACATTTGGTAGGACTCCTTGGATGAGTGATCAGCCCATCACAACAGAGGGTATGTATGGATCATATGAAAAGAATCCATTAACATGTTTATTTAAGTGAACTTTTATAATTGTCATAATTGTAAAAGTCTTCTATTTTGGGAACAATTTAAATCTGAACACTGGTACCAGCTTACCTTGTTGGGGGAAGTACAGGCATACCTCGGAGATATTGCGGGTTCGGTTCCAGACCACCGCAATAAAGCGAGTCACGTATTTTTTGGTTTCCCAGTGCATATAAAAGTTATGTTTACGCTATACTGTAGTCTATTAAGTGTGCAATAGCATTATGTCTAAAGAAAAATGCAAGAAATACCAAAATGTGACACAGAGACACGAAGTGAGCACGTGCTGTTGGAAAAATGGCGCTGACAGACTTACTCGACGCAATATCTGCGAAGCGCAATAAAATGAGGTATGCCTGTATTATAAAATTAAGGCCAGCTTGATTTTGGTGCAGGAAAATCCATTCCGACGAGCAGCAAGACAACAGGAGGGGTCTGGTTCCTCGTCGTCCTCACCAGCAGGTGACAGCAGTGACGATAGTAGCATCAGCAGTGGCACTTCACCTTCAACTTCTCGAGAGCATGTTGCGGTTGCCATTGGGGGTACTAATTGTTTCTTTCACTCATGTAATATCCCCCTTTTAATCCCACAACATGTAACATTAAAATATGTGCTGTATGCTGGAGTTAAATACTTGTGGCCTGGCACCAGGTGGTGAGTTCCGCACTCGTAACTCCCTATTCTTGAGTGAAGAGCATTGATCTTTAATACAAAGATATTTCTCACTTGTATATGTTGCCTTCCACTGTTCTTAGTATAATCATTTATTTGTTTTGTCATTATTTTCTATTTTACAACTTCCAGTGTTATAAAATATTACCAGTAAAGTTTATATCAAATTAGAGCAAGCACTATGTTTTTTGGTCCGCTAGTAGTGCAGCGTAGGAGCCGGGATAGTTCAGTCAGTACAGTGACTAGGTACCCAGTTTTGGCAGTTGTTTCGTGGGGAATTGCGCGTAAGCATCGTGTGCCTATTTCCGACATTTTACCCACCTTGTTTTATGTTTACGTTTAGATTTTAGAGACACTGCAGTAACAGTTCCCCTTTTGTTTGAATGTGTGTATGCCTGTCGATGAACGGCTTTGCTACCGATGATACTTCGAGGAGTAAGTGTGTGCATGTAAGTGAATTGATTAGAATATCCATATAAATGTGTGTCTGCCAACTTTGACTGGCGTGATTGTATATGTTGGCATGTCGTGTACTACTTGGTGAAAACAGTGAAAATTACAGATCGAATTTTCCACATATGAAGTCATAAAACAGGTGACTTTCAGAACTTGCAATAGACATGGCAACATGAAGGAATCTTCTTCTTTAGCGTCATTTCAGTTTTATGCAGGTTAGTGGACAGAAAGTCCCGTCTCTTACGTCTTCCGACAATTATTATTCTTCAATTTCGTGTAAGCTCTTTCCCCTGTTCTGGGCGTGTCTTGGTATTTGCGTGAACCATCTTATTCTGCGTCATCCCACAGGTCTCTCTTATTTAAATTTTAATTCTAATTAATTTCTTTTATTCTTGTTATTTCCAAACGATTGTAGTCATTTCTCTTCTAATTCCATTAACACATTTTTAACTCTTTGTGATTAATTTCCGATTCTATCCCTTGTTGTTTACCCCTTAACATTATCCAATGTTTGAATTTTTCTTTTGTTTTTCCTTGTAATAGGCCATGCTCTGGCATTTTAAGGTCTATTTAAAATATATTTTATAATATCCTGCATTGTTTTGGGATCTGTGTGTTTCATGTCACTCCTTTTATAATTTGATACAATTTAAAGCTAATTTGTGATTTTCTGTTTATCTTTCCATTGGTTTTCCCATCAAATAAGTAAATAAATCTGTTTGCCTGTTATGCTTTTAAAACGAAAAGTGCGAATGTTGTTGTGGTAAAAGTTTGTGAATTTGTCACCTATATGAAGTAATGGCTTCGGTTGTAGCTCTAAGGGTTTTTTTAGATTATATATTGTGTTCTGAATTTGTTTAAAATTATTTATATTAAATAAATAAGTTGGAAACTCTGGTATAGAAGACATTTGTATTACTGAATGAAATCTGTTACATTTATCTTTTGCAGAAGATGATGAAGGACTGCAGAGTGAAGAAATGGAAGAAGAAGAAGAAGAAGAAACTCTGGCCTTCACCCTGGCATCGGCAGGTGAACATTCCATTAACAGTGCTTCAGAATCTCAAGAGGGATTTGATGCGGCTGCCGTAGTGATGGCCCCCGGTCCTGCTGCCTTTCTTTCTAACAGGAACACATCTTCTGGTGACAGGAAGCTAGATCGTGTGGTGTGATTAGATCTGCTAGATTGGAGAGTAAAACTCGGTCGGGCGGGGAACAGACGAAGAAGGTGCTTGTGTAGCCAAAGAAGTTTTATATGATTGGTTGGTTGATTGAGAACGGTGTGTGGGCCGTCATTTTTTAAAGAACTTTACGTTGTATTCTGCAGTACCCCATAAATGCTTACGATCCTCCCTCTCAGTTATACCTTTCAAGACGTAGGATGTTCTGCCATTTGCACAACGTTCTGTGTTCTCTGTTTTTATTGTATTTTGTTTGTAGTGGTAATTCATGACCATTTCAGCGACAGCTAATAAGACAATGAATTTTTTTTGCTGTTGCTGTGTCTGTAGACTTGTAATGAATTATTTGTCGCAGGAGTGTTACTCAGACTATCTGATGGAAGTGGTTGAGCCATGTGTACGAGTCGGCAGTCTCCGTTACTTTTATATTGGTAATGCTATGATATATAGATAATGACAATGCTTTATGCTATATTAAAAGTAGGGGAACATGGGGTACAATGAAGGAGAAAATTGTTTTGTCATAAACCCTCAGACATACTCAATATGTTTTACTGAAACAATTTTTTTCTGCATGAAGTGCAGTAAATTAACACTTTGATGTATTTGTGTTTTAATCAGTTCACGACAGACTTTATTTGAAATTAAAAATGTCAGTCATATCATTTGTTTCAGGACTCAGGACTTTTAAATCTCAAAATGCGGTTTGAATACTGAAAATACAATGAAGTTTAAAAATGCAGATAGGCTGTTCCAAAAAAAACAAAATCTGCCTGGAATCGTGATGTTTCTTTTGTTCAAAGCATGTGACAGTCGTAGAACTGCAGATAACAAAAAAGTGTAAGTTTGTTTTAACTCTTCGTCTGTTTTACTTTATGTGGATATGAGAAAAATTGATGCCAAGGGAAAAAATATCTCTTCTGCCTCTTAGTCTGTCCACAAGATGATCGTTTATGGAGAATAATTTTTATCTGCTTTTCATGGACTGATGCTCTATCTTAAATTTCAGGTTTTATCCTCCAAAGTGTTGCTTATTTTAAGAAAATTTACTTAATAGTTATCTTTGGTGCACATCATTTCTCCAACGTAAAAATTAATTTCATTCCGTGGACATACTGCTGGACAAGAGCAAAATCCCCTTCGAAAGGTTCTTCTTCTATTTTATTAACATTTTTGGAACACATTACTTCTGTCACATCAGTGCTGCTAACATTTTTACAGCACTGTCCCCGAGTTTCAAAATTGTATGAAGAAACACTGTAAATGTGTGGTTATGTCAGACATCAGGTATCAATTTAGGTAAACTGAAATGTGAGTTGAGAGGCTGTGTTGAAACTGCATTGTGTCAGTACTTTTTCATAAAAGGAAAATAATTTGTTCCCAGGAATGGAAAAGTACAACATATTGTTTACATTTATTCATAATATCGAACTTATAAATAAATGAGTGACGTATGAATGTTACGCTTGTAATGGCACCAGCAATGTAATTGTTTGCATTCCTCAACTTTGATCAAGGAAAAGTATTCGGAGTGTTTTAACACCGGTTAGTATTCTGTAAACAGTGAAAGACAAAGCTCGAAGGTTCTACTTTTTTTCGGAAGCTTACGGCGTATTTCACTTCTCACGATGTAACAGATCTTCAGTTAAGAGAAATGTGTAAAGCAAGGTACCAGTTGTCACAGCGTGACAGTTCTCTAGACCAGTGTTCTCTCTCTCTCTCTCTCTCTCTCTTTCCCCACTCCCCACCCATAACACACCTTAATTTGTCAAAGACACGTGATGGCGGACCACAAAATTTTGCCTCGTGGATATGGGGTACAAATACATGGCCTTAAATATGTTACACATAAATCCGCGCCCTCTAAGGTTGTAGGCATATGAAAACAAAACAGCACATGTTGAATAAAACCAGCAGTGAACCTTTGTGTCTGCCGTACGAATTATGATTACGAAAGAGAAGATACTGAATTTCTTTTAGCTCAACATGCGAATGTACAGAATCGTACAAATACTCGCAGCACACAGGTTACAGAACACTGCTGTAGACAAGTGAGGTCTATAACAAATCTTCCTTGGTCCATCTTGGGTATATTGCCTAGTTTCCTGTTGATTGAAGATATAATCGCTTGTCCGCATCTGCCATTTTCCAAATTTCCGTTCCACACTTAATTTGTTTTGACTTCATGTAAGCGTGGAATGAACGTCTTGCCCAAAAAGACAAGTAGTTGTTTGTCAGTTGTTATGTGGGCTCCCGGAGCGTAATTGTGAATATATGAGATGCTTCTTTAAATCCTGCAGGCTTGTCACTTTCTCTCACATGCTCTCTGGTGTCCGTGTCATCAAACAGCATGTACCACAGTTCAATAAATCTGTGCTTTGACATTACAGCAGGAAATATTGGCCTTCAGAGTACTGGATCAGTAGACAAAAGCATTTTCAAGGGCTCTCACCTAGTTTTCAATGCCCCGATTGTCAAAAAAATGCCATATTTTCATTTCACCCATTAGCAAACAAATTATCCTGTTTTATGGGATTCTTTGTTTCCAGTCCTCG